TCATAACATCGTGCGGTTCTAAGGGGTTGTCTACATGACATGTATTCGGTTTTGTGCTGCAGTTTCACCCAAGGCCTTGTAGAAAGGCGACAAGGCAATTTCAACCCAACTTTAGTGGTTTTGACCCTGTGGTCTAAGTCCGAAGCTTCGTAAGATGCATTATGCACTCTGTAATAGTCTGCCAGCGTGGAAATCAGCCATGAATTTCTGATTGCCCTTTGCTGTGCTGCGCCTTGGGATGGCACCGGAGAAGAAGCATGTGACTCCGAACCAAGCTTTGCGATTGAGCCAATGGGACTTACTCAATCAGTGCGAGGCATGGGGGATTGAAAGGGGAGAACACCTCACGGAAATAGATATTATGCAGCTGCGAGTGGAGTTGGCGCGGCGTTGCAGCGGCGTGCAGGCCGGTCGAGTCGGAGCATGCACGGTGCTGTATAGATTGGTTGAAGCATTAGGTCGGTATTTCTAAATTCGTAAACTTGCTGACACACGAATGCCGCCAGGCATCGCCGCCTTCAGACAAGGGACCAACCGCAGCTCCCAGTGCTCCCACTTCTCCCGCACCCGTTCCAGGACAGACGAGCAACAAAAACAGCATTTTTGTAAGATCTTGTCAGGGGTGAGATGTGCCTTCGGCCACAAAGGTAAGATTGAAACTGAGCAGAAACATGTCTATGTAGCAATAGGGTTTGTAGTTAAGGGTCGGTTCGGCCTTTCACCGCTGCCTGTAAGGATCCAAAAATGGGTGGCATGTAGAGTACGGTCTGCCATCTTTTTGTGTTAAGTGATGCACGAATGTGTCCCATGCAGGCATCCGTAACGGTGCGATCACCGAGTGTCTGCCGTGCTTGCGAGTATGTTTTGTATGTCGCAGCTTTGGAAAGCAGCTCAAAACCTGCCCGGTTCGGCCGGTGTAGAAGTGGAGATAGATCCATGGTGCAAGTGGTGTCGACACGTATCTCTTCGAAGAAGACCTTGCGCCTTCCCCAACTCAATGAGGAGCAGAAGAAATCCTTGGGAAGACTCGCTTGTCTTGCGCGGGCTCACCAAGGTAACAAATGCCGGAAGGAATACGAAGTCTCGACACAGTGCACGATATGTGGCCGTTTTCGTCATTCTGTGGCATGGAAGTACAGGTCCGTGGGCAGTGGAAGGAACATCCGTCGTGTCACCACAGGCTCCTACTGCTCTGCATGCGCCAAAGCTTGTTTCACGCAAAAGTGCAGTCGCTCGGCTTCCGTACTGAAGGCAGTGCCTGGTGTCTTGGAAACCATCCAGTGCATCAGTGAGGACATCCACTTGCGTTGGAAAGTCCTGGGTTGCCACGGCTGTTCGTGTTACCATTGTTCCAAGTGATTTGAGTTTCCTTTAACCGCCTAGCGCAGTACAGAGTTGCTGCTATTTTCGGAGTGCCGATGCGCAAACCGCAGAACAGCAACTGCCCTGGGGTTTTATGCAGGTGGGGCGGCTTCTGCTTTTGAAGCTTGAAACCCCGATCTGCTTGGAGCAGTCCGTGCAACCGCTAGCCAAAATCGTGCTGCGACGGAGTTACTTTTGGCAGCAGTGTCTTGAAGCCAGTTCCCCCACCATTTGGATGCAGGACTTGCTCCACCTCCTGCAGTTCCTACTGTCGAAGCTGAGCATGCAGACAAGCTTGCTCCCGAAGGATCTTGGGTTTTGGGCGGGAGCAGTAGTACAGGCCACTGTTCTGCTGCAGTGTGCGGGCGCAGGACTTCCTCCATCTGTTGCAGCTTCTCCTGTCGATGCTGTGTCTCCAGATAAAGCTGCGCCTGCAGGAGTTTGAATGGGGGGGCCTGTAGTGGAAACATCTATTTTGCTGCAGTGTGCGGACGCAGGACTTGCTCCACATCCCGCAACTTCGGCTGTCGAAGCTGGGCCTGCTCCCGAAGGAGCTTGGGTCCAGTAGTACAGGCCACTATTCTGCTGCAGTGTGCGGGTGCAGGACTTCCTCCATCCGCTGCAGCTTCTCCAGATCCTGTGTCTCCAGATAAAGCTGCGCCTGCAGGAGTTTGATTGGCGGGGCCTGTAGTGGAAACATCTGTTTTGCCGTAGTGCGCGGACGCAGGACTTGCTGAACCTTCCGCAGCTTCTACTGTCGAAGCAGTGCCTGCAGACGAGCCTGCTTCCGAAGGAGACTGGTTGCAAAGCAGCTGCATGCGCGCACACGCGGGGGCGGAATGGCTGGGAGCGGGGAGCTGGTAGCGTAATCGTGTCTCCAAAACTCTTCGCTGGTACAGTACGTTGCTCACACAGCCACAAGCTTCCGATGGTAACGTAATCGTGTCTCCAAACCTCTTCGCTGGTAAGTTGCTCACACAGTCACAAGCTTGCGATGGTAACTTAATCGTGTCTCCAAACCTCTTCGCTGGTATGTTGCTCACACAGCCACAGGCTTGGTAACGTAATCGTGTCTGCAAACCTCTTCGCTGGCGAGTTGCTCACACAGTGCCCCAGTGCTAAGAAGTACGATTTGTTGCCGTTGTTTTGGCCTCGAAGTGATGCCCCATTGCTAAGAAGTACGATTTGTTGCCGTTGTTTTGGCCTCGAAGTGATGCCCCAGTGCTAAGAAGAACGATCTGTTGCCGTTGTTTTGGCCTCGAAATGCCGCCCCCAGTCCACGGGCTTGCGATGGTAACGTAATCGTGTCTCGAAACCTCTTCGCTGGTAAGTTGCTCACACAGTCGCAAGCTCCGATGGTAACGTAATCGTGTCTCCAAACCTCTTCGATGGTATGTTGCTCACACAGCTACAGGCTTGGTAACGTAATCGTGTCTGCAAACCTCTTCGCTGGCGAGTTGCTCATACAGCCACGGGCTTGCGATGGTAACGTAATCGTGTCTCCGAACCTGTTCGCTGGTAAGTTGCTCACAAAGCCACAAGCTTGCGATGGTAACGTAATCGTGTCTCCAAACCTTTTCGCTGGTCTCACAGAGCCACAAGCTTGCCATGTTTATGTTTCCGTGTCTCCAAATCACTTCGCTATCAACAATCTTGCGATCTAAAGACAAGCTCCTCCAGGACTTTGCTTGGGGGCACGTTAAGCCAAAATATGTTTCTTCAGCTTCCTCTGGGAATGACTCTGAAGCTCCTACATAGCCTTTAGGGTAGGTTTTTGTTCGGGCCCCGTCTCCGTTCTGTCTTGTCCTGCTGTGTGTGGGGACTCCCCCCAACCCATCCCGCCCCACCTGGCCGGACCCAGTTCGTTGTTTTTTTTCTTTGCTGTTGTCTCGTGCTGCTGTGTGTGGGGTCTCCCCCCATCCCATCCCGCCCCCCGGCCGGGTACCCAGTTCGTTGTCTTCCTCTACTAGTAGTAGTAGTAGTAGTAGTAGTCGTCGTGGTGGTGGTGGTGGTATTTTTCCTTTTCGTCTGCCCTCTACAGGGAGGGTTGATGGTGCGACAACCCGGGGACATACGAAAAGGAAATAGTAGTAGCACGGGTGGTATTGGTAGTGGTAGTAGTAGTCGTAGTAGTAGTAGTAGTACTAATAATAGCAGATTGGGTGTCCGCTGGCAAATGAACGTTTCGGGCATCGCTCGGGGTATCGCTCGGGCATCGCTCGGGGTATCGCTCGGGTCCCATCGCGCCAGGACACCCGGAACCGACTACGGAGCCTGTTGCGCCTACTGTATGCGCAGACTGCCAGAAGGCGCTGACACCGCTGAATGAAAGTGGCGTGCGAGGATATTGCTGAGATTGCTTTATGGCCAATGTGCAGCGTAACGAAGCGCTGCTCGCTCTCAAGGCCAGGGCTCAGCCGCATCAGGGCCAATCATTAATTATAATGCTCAGCTCCCTGCCGAACGAAGCGCATGAGTGCTCCTCTCCTACAGCTTCCGCTTCGGTGAAGCCTCACACGAATGAGGATCCACCACTCCCGCCACCTGCCGAGGCACCGCAGTCCGGCAAGGCTGGGGGTTTCGTTGCGAGTGGCTCCTTTTGTATCTTCTTAAGCAGCCCTGTTTAGGAACCTGTCCAAGAGATCGTGCCTGCAGAAGCTGCAGAAGGGGCCACACCGGCTGCGAATGAACCGCCTAAGCCGGTAAGAAGCACCAAAGAGAGCTGGGCAAGCTTTTATGCTCGGTACCACATGAACTACGTTGATGTGCGTGACCATGGCCGCAGTCAGCGGAATCAGCAGGAATACAGGAAACAGTGGGCGCTTTTGAATGCCGAGCAGCAGGCACTTCGACGAATCTCATTCAATGTTTAGGCCGTTTAGGCAACAGCTCCCAGAATCCCGATGCCTCCACTGAAACTGACAAGCAGGCAGCTTTCCGCGCGGAGCACGAGCCAGTTCCAGCACAGACTTCCTCCTTGCAGGGCCCGAGCCATACCCATGTATCCATTTCCAATGATTACGACCTCGCCGCCCTACGGAAGGAGTTCTCGTCCTCATCGCAGAGTCATAGCAGCATCAGCGCGAGCGATGATGAGCGGTGGCTTCTGTATTGTAAGACCGCTTTGATGCTACAAAGGGGAGACTTCAAATCCTTAAGCCATGCAGAGCAGGAGTGTGCAGAATTGAAGGTGTCACGTCAAAAGCTCTCACGGATCATGCAGCTCTTGAAGCAGCAAGGCACCTTGCCCTGTGAATGCCCTCGGCAGTTTAAGATGGGACAGGGCGCGAAATCATTGACACTCCAGGAAAAGGAAGATTTGTTGGAGATGATTCGCTTCCACTCACAGTGCGGACTGGCCTTATCAATCAGGGATTTGGAAAGGGCCATAATGTGCTTCCGGATGGCCGGAGTCGGAGTTCTCAATGTGCACTGGGACAGCCCTGAGGACAGACCCCATCCCTTAAATGCGCCTCTCAGCTGGGGTTGCTTTGCTCGTTTCATGGGTATTCGCAGCCCTAAGGATGTTGTGTCTCGTGCTGAGCCTTAAACCCTACATCCCAAACCCCCAAATCTAAGATGTACGATTTGTTGCCGTTGCTTTGGTCTCGAAGTGGCCCTAAACCCTAAACTATAAGCCCCAAATCCTCAACCTAAGCTTTATAGAAACCCTACGTTTTGCTTAGTGGCGCGCGATTTTCAAGCACCCTGCAGGATCTCGCCCAGAAGGCCGATGCCATGCTGGCCCAACATGCACCCAAGTCTTTGTGGAAGCACTTTCGTGAATGGGTCCAGGCCCACAAGGGTAAAGAGGATTGGATGAAGGTCCGTCGTCTCAAGCAAAAACCCCTTCAACAGATTACAGCCGTTACAGAGAAAGTCATCGTGGATTCCTTTGATGAAATCCAAGAGGCCTTGCTTCAATCTGGTATCGCCAAGGCTGACGGCGATGTCGTGGTGATACTGGAGTCCGAGAGCCACCGGCTGGCAGTCACTGACGAAAAAGGTGTGTCTCAGCGTTGCGATGACGTTTCATCGGGAGTCCTACCTGCCAACATGGTCTCCAAGGCGAAAGCCGTCACGCCCAATATCGGCTGGACACACTTGACCATGACGAGCTTCTTGCCGTTGAAATGGGTTGATGGTCAAGAGCCTTTGCCAGTTGGCGTCGTGGTTCCGTTTGCCAAGGCTTGCAGATGTCCTCCACGGGCTGTGTGGCAAGTTTTTCTTTGAATGTTCAGTTTATTTGTTTTGGCCCACAGGTAAACCCCACGATGTCCAAAGCGTGGCCAAGTGCGGTGATACGAGCGAACCCCACTGGATCGACCAACGCATCTCTCTTCGCAGAGTTCGTCGAAAAGTGTTCCGTGGTTGCTTTCATCGGGTGTACGGTTTAGGAGTTTAGGAAGGGCACGCAACTATAAACTATTTTCGCTCTCAGGCTATCTGATTCCGATGCGTCGGTTTGTGCCGCAAGACCTGGAGTTGATGCTTATTTTTGATTCCGGTGGCGGCCAGTGGCTCCACATATCCAGCGAGTTGGTCATACTGTTGCTCCGCTACAAGTGCAGAGCTTATGTGATGAAACCATATACGACAGGGGCTCTGTGTCCCCTAGACCAGGACTGTCACAAGACCTGGGCCAAGCTGTGGGCAGACACGAAGTCTTCTTGGGCTCGAAACAAACAGTGTCCCATGAATGTCTACCAAGCACTGGAAGCCAATTCGCTCATCGCCAAGGACGCCTTGAGTCCCGCTCGGGCACGAGCATCCTGGCATGCATGCGGCTTCGACCCTGGCATGCCGCTGCAGCGAGACAAGGTTCTGATTGAGCGTCGCTCTGAGGTGATCCAGTCGGTGCGCGGCAATGCCAGTACGCTTTCCCCTCCGCAAAGCAAAAACCAGAAAGCATTGGATATTGTTGCGACAATCTCGCCGCCGAAAACCAAGTGCCAGGAGTGCAATGCTGCTATGACGGTGGTGCAGCGTCATTGCGGCCAATGTGGCGCACAAAATGCAGTATTCAATGCCGAGCTTTACGAGATTCATCGGAATGGCCACCGAAGTGGCTGGCAGCAAAATGCAAAATTTGTTGCCGAGGCTGAGAATGAGCAGGAGGAGAGGGCCTCACGGGACGTGGGAGACTTGCTACATTTTCTCCGTTGCAAACGGCGGTTGTTCACTGAGGAAGACAATGTTGAGCCACCCTCCAAGGAGCAGAAGGTCACCATGCCCGACAACAAGGCCGAGCCCCAAAGCAAGAACGCGAAGTCCCAGCCTAGCAGTTCTCATCAACCTGAGGCGCCGGCCTTGCCTGCGATGGAAGATTCGGACAGCGAGTTCGACTTGAATGACCCGTCGGACTGTTTGAAGTTTCTCGAGGAGGCCTTTCCGGCCCATGAAGTGGCAAAGGCAGGCCTCTCTGTGCCAGCCTTTACAAAAATCATGCAATATTTCATCCGTCATCTGAGGGCGAGGAAGGGCTCTCTAGCGGCTTGGATGCGGAAGGAAGTGATCACACCAGCGATACTCGACTCCAAGTCGAAGCGCGCCAGCTTTCTTGCTGCCTGGAGTAAACAACGATCCACAGAGTTTGTGCCTAAGAAAAAGGCCAAGCAGAGCTGATCATTTCACCTTGTGTCTTTTGCGACGAGTGGGGGAGACACTCTCAGCGCACGGCCGAAAAGACGTGGCATAATTAGGCTTTGTCCGTGCTGAGATCGTTGCTCGCTGTCCCCCAAACCCCCAATCCAAAAATCCAAAGTAGGAGTATGGATGGCCAAGGCCCTTAGCAAAGCCCACGTCCTCAAAACTCCAAAAAATCCACAAATAAAGCACGAAAGCATTAAACTTTAAACCCTTAACCCATGAAAGCATCAGACGTCCGACGTCTGAGATCGTTGCTCGCTGTCCCCCAAACCCCCAATCCAAAAATCCAAAGTAGGAGTATGGATGGCCAAGGCCCTTAGCAAAGCCCACGTCCTCAAAACTCCAAAAAATCCACAAATAAATCACGAAAGCATTAAACCCTTAACCCATGAAAGCATCAGACGTCCGACGTCTGAGATCGTTGCTCGCTGTCCCCCAAACCCCCAATCGAAAAATCCAAAGTAGGAGTATGGATGGCCAAGCCCTTAGCAAAGCCCACGTCCTCAAAACTCCAAAAAATCCACAAATAAAGCACGAAAGCATTAAACCCTTAACCCATGAAAGCATCAGACGTCCGTTCCAATACTTTCAACTCTGGAGGCGCGGTTACATGGGGAAAGACTGGATTGTTATGACTTCCCACCAGCGTTTTGCACAGCAGCCGCACATGAAAAACATGTCTCCGGCACAGCGGTTAGTTGGGGCAAACAAGAATTGTTATGACTTAGTTATGGGAGTCATAACGGCGCGGTTCACTGGGGAAAGGCCTCCCCCAGCTGCTCCTGTTATGACTTCGACCTCACATACCAGCGTTCCTGTACTATTCTATTTCCA